AGACATGCAGTGGAAGAAAAGAACAGGGGTCAGTACAACACTCAAGAAGTATCTCAATCCTCTTTACAGATGATCCTAATCTCTCGAGATAAAGTGAGATTGGAAGTACCTGGAGACAAACGAGATAAGGGAGTGGCGTGGAACCGCATATACTGGCAAGGATCTCTCTCAAACGAGTCTGAGACCACATCGGTGGTGGAGGATCAAGGGAGAAAAGAGAGAGAGAGAGAGACACGACTACAGAGAGAAAGACAAAATGCTTTTGTCTTTGTTTCTTTTCGTCAGAGAAGACAAAGAGACACGCGGAGTGGATCTGTCGGCAAGAAGACATCTTCTATGGGCCAGTTGTAGGCCCAAGCCAAACTGGTGGAGATTTGTTGAAGTTTGGGCTTGCGCATGAAGAGCAGATGGGCCACAACTCTATCAAGCCCACTCCGGTTGAGCCCACAAACACCTGATCACATACAACACACGTATATAAGGTGTTAGTGTGTTGATTAGGTTACGGCAAGTTAAGTGCAACAAAAGGGTTTACCAAGGCAAGAATCAGATCCAGGTGTTAAGCAAGAGACAACTAAACAAGATAATAGCTTAGGCCTAAGTCTATTCATCTAACAGGGGTTTGTTGAGCTTAGAGTATTTGGTTCATTTTAAACAACTATCTAGACCATCAATTGGTGTGTCTAGTGTCTCTTTGATCTAGTGGATTTTGGGAGCAGGAGTTCTCCCACGAGACGTACCGTGCTGAAGGCCGGGAACTCGTTAAATTGCTTGTGTCTTTACTTTCAGTATTAGACTTAGATCAAAGATAACTTCCAACCTAAGTAACCTAAGAACTAATAATCTTAACATTTATATATTTTATTTTCGTAAATATAAATATTTATGTTAAAAAAAAATCTAATAGGTTGGTAAGACGGATTAACATTAGCAATCTATATAATACATATATATATATTTACATGTATTTCATTAAAGCTAACATATAATATAAACATATATATATTTCTATATTAATTTTAAAAAATCTAATAAATCTGTGTAAGAATATTTTACAATAACTTAATGTATTTTATGTTATTGTTATAAAATGAAAAATTTAAATTATATACTATTTGATTTACTTTATAGTCATAATCCTCATGTTAAAAGACAATTATTATATTGAACTAAATATGATAAATTTATATTAAATTTTTAAATTTTATTTTTATAAATTTAAAATATTTATTTTAAAAATATAATATGATGACAGAACACCATAAAATTAACAAACAATATAATACATGTCTACAAATAAACATATTTTAGACTTTTGTATATACATAATATATTATCTAAAATGAATAAACATATCAATATTGGTAAAAGAAAATCCAGCTTTGAAAGGCGGGTCAAAATTACCATAAATTAAATACAAAATCATTTTCATATATGTTTTCTCATGAATATATTAATTTTCTTAATAACAAAATGCAAATACAATAAGATAAATATATAATAAGAAGTGACAAATACATTCAGTTTTTAACAATTGATTAGTATAACATGTAAACTATAAAATTATTATATTTGAAATAGTTATGTAAACAAGTATATGATAACGAAAAAAAATATATACCACGTATGTTCTAAAACAAATGTTTATGTATATAAAATAAATATTCGCGTGGTTGCGCGGATCAAAATCTAGTATATATATTATTTGAGATGTTAGTTGTTTACATGTCATACTCACACGAACCAGAATCAGTTTGATACTCTTAATACGTTACAATTGTAATGGTTACTAGATTTTGACCCGCGCTTTAAAGCGCAAGATTATTTTCGTAACAAATCAAATTTATATGTTATAAATTTGCATGTTTGAATATTAATTTACATTTAAATATGAAATTTAAACATTACACGTGAACCATTATATTCAGTGTTATGAAACAAAATCTGGACATGTTGTTAAATCGACAAAACCGATGACTTTATATGTAATCCGGTCTAGCTTTAAAAAAAACTTATTATTTAATTTTTTTATAAAACCTCCAAAAACCCCGCTAAAACCTGGGACTCGGCTATTGGTTCAAAGTGCAGAAATATTTTTGAAACAAATCAAATTTATATGATATAAATTTGTATTTTTGATTATGTATCAACATTTACATGTTACACATGAAGCGTTATATTTAGTGTTCTGAAACATAATTTGGACCCGTAGTTAACCGACAAAATTGATGACTTTATATGTAACCCGGTTTGGTTTTAAGAAAAAAAAAACGTTATAAAAATTCTATAAACCACAAAAAACTGTGTATTAAAGCTGATACGTTTTATTTTTGCAAGAATATTCAAAAGTATTTTGAAAGGGATCAGTCCATTAAGTAACCCATTAGATAGATATTGTTTGTAAAAATTATATAGTTTTGTAGGTCCAAAAAGCAAAAAAACCCTATTATCATTAATGAAAATAAAATTTTGTTCATATCATTAAAGGTATTTTTGGAAAAAAATAAAAATTTTATTAAAGTGAGTGATCCTGTTTTAATGGTATTGATTTTTCCTATTAGTATTTTATTTTGTTTTCTTTTCCAGTTAATAAGGAAACTTTTGAGCAATAACTAAGTTTTGAAAAATTTCTTCCAATTGTTTTCAGAAATAATAAAAAGGAAATATCTTAAAATCGTTATCATGGTTTGTCTGTGTATGTTACACTTAGGGGGTGTATTGATAGCTTAACTGGTTTATCCGTCACCATCCGCAAACGTAGATTTTGCGGTTGGTAGCGTTTTGTAACAATCATAGAAAAATCTATACATCGCTTTAAATCGTTCTAAACCTTTAAAATCCATTACAATTAGCGTTTGTAGTTGCGAGTGCTTACGGGAGGGTAAAACATTCTTCTTTGTTAAAAAAAGAAACTAAATAAATATAAAAATAAAATATTCAGTTATTTTTGAAAATTTTTAAATAATAAAAATACCAATATATATATTTATCATATCTCCATTTATATTATAAAACTTCAAAACAAAAGTATTTTCTATAACTTTTTAAAAAAAAAAAAATATTAGTATAATTTTATCAATATAACTTTTATATTTATTATAAAAATATTATTTTAATTTTTTAGTAATAATATAAAATATAAATATTATTAATTTATTATTCAATCACTACTGTATTTGATAGTTAAACAAGTCATAAATACTCTACAAACGTAACAATTTTTGACCATTGTACCAGTCATCCAAATATCTTATTAACACTTAAAATTGCAATCATCTGCATCCGCAAGCGTCCGTAACTGCAACTACTAGGATTATACCAGTCATGCTCTGAATCAAGAATTTGAGAATGTTTTGGAGAGATTTTATTTATGGTGGGATTTGGGAGTGTGCTTTGAGTAAATATAGGTAGGTGATTTTGGTAAGATTTAGAAAACAGAAAAAATAAAGTTCTTTGATGATTTGGTAAATATCATTCGCAGATTTCAGAATAGTTTATATGATTCGAATGGTATTTAAAATAGTTTCATTTTCCAAATTCGTCAATTGACATCGTAACTTTTGCAGAGTTGCAGACAAAGGATTACTCAAACCTTTTTTTTTTGATAAAAACTCAAATCATATTACTGCATAGTAATAACTAATAATTTTCCACTAAATTATATTCCACTATGGACCTTGTATTTATTTGGTATTAAAAAATTAAATTACAGACCACTGTTATATATTACTTAACAAATGTGTTTTTTGATAGTAAAGCTACAGCTATGAGCCAGCCTATGACAGGAAGACCCAAACAAAACAATCATTCGGTCATCTATATAGTCACCTAAATACTTAGAGATAGTCATCAATAATCATCTGTATGATTTCGACAATGATCTTAAAGAAGCTGCGAGTCACGAAAATCTGTTGACAAGCTAAAGTGGTCCACTTCTAATATTTGAAACCCCCTTACATACACGTACTAGATACTCTGGTTCAATAAATAAAGGAACATTGGTATAAATTTAAAATTGATACAAATAGATGAACATCAAATTGATTCAAATTTTAAAAGTGATCATATTTAGAAGAGTAAACGCAAAACTTCTTTTAATCACTCATGATGCGTTTCATGACTTTTTTTAGTTTCTATCTGCAACTCTTCTCTTTCAACATATAAAGGATACCAATCACTGAAACCATCTAACATCAAGCTACTATTTTAGGTCTAAGGCGAAGAACATATATGTCTACAGACTAGCACACCCAAATAAGATAAGAAAATAATATATTGTAGGCCATATGGAGCAAATATCTCTTGATCTATTTCGATCACTAAACAGTAGTATGTTGTTTATTCAAACTCAGTCATAGCAACAATCGCAATCATCATCATCATAATCACATGCAAAGATGTAATATTCAAATCTTATCCAATGGCAAATAACTTCTTCAAATTATTGATGGAGCTGGAATTAAAAATATATATATAACAAGATTTTTATTTGAAAAAACGTAAATATATAAAAAGCTATATTTGTACTCATAGTTTCCAGCAGTACGGCCCCTAGTTTGCGAGCCAAGGAAAATCTACTTTAAGACTTGGAACTGGACCCACTTAGTCTGACCAGGTCACACTATTCACCACTTCGAGCTCTAAATACACATACCAACTTTTATATTGGCAATCATATAAACACATACATTATATATCTGCATTCTTCTTTTATATATGAATGTAAACATAAATATGAACTAAGCCATGTGAGCCAGATGGATGGTAAGGGTCCAACAGCCCACACCTTTTGGGAGGCAGGGGGCTTTTAGTGATAGATATCGCGTCTTAGTGTAATTTCTTTTAGCATTGAAGTCTTTTCCTTATCTTGAAGTCACATGCTAGCTTTAAGTTTACTACTATAAATAGAGATTTCCTTCTCCTCCTTGTCTATCAAGTTACTTGCTTCAAATATTTGGTACATTCTCAGATTTATAAGTTGCATCAAAGGAAAAACAAAGATGGGTTTAATGCGGTCCATGCTTCCAAATGCAAAGCAACTCTTCAAATCACAATCTATGAAGAACAAAAACGGATCACCATCATCAACAACAACTTCAGGGCTTGTTCCTAAAGGTCACGTAGCCGTTTATGTTGGGGAAAGAATGGAGAAGAGAAGGTTTGTGGTTCCAATATCTTACTTGAACCATCCTTTGTTCAGAGAGTTTCTTAATCGTGCCGAGGAAGAATTCGGATTTCATCACCCAATGGGTGGATTGACGATTCCTTGTCGAGAAGAGTCGTTTCTTCATCTCATTACTTCTCATCAGCTGCGTTGAGGAACAGAATATTTAATATTTAGCAGTGAACATAAAGGCTTTGGATACTATTTTTTCTTTCTTCTTAAGAGGAGAATTATAGGAAATCTAGTTGTGTGTATATTACACTTGTTCAAAGCTTGTGTTTCGTAATAAGATATTAAAAGTTGTACTATTCATATTAAAACAATTAAAAGCTCAAGATTTACTAGGATTCAAAGCTTTAATAGGAGATTTAAATCTCTTTTGCGAAAGGTATTACTACTCTTGCCAATTTGTTGTGTGTAAATGCCTAAAAGATATTGGAGGAAAAAAATATATATATATATATATATATAAATTATTGTTTACTGTCCGAATACTTGATATGCTCTCTAATCTGAAAGAATGTAAGATCGATTTCAGTAGCGGTCCACAGTTTTATTGGGCCGGAAGCAAAAAAAAATTTTAGAGTCTATATAAATGAAAATAGAAAATGTTCAACCACAAGAATCAAAGACATGACCTCTTCTGTGAGGAAAAATAGCGTTTAACTGCTAGACTAAAAGTACTCTGGGTTGAGAAAATTGGCCGAAAACTTTTATATATTTTGAATGGTCGGAAGCACATGCTTCTTTTGCTTATTATCAGGATCGGCACTCATTTACAACTTAGAATTCCGAATATAATATGTTTAGCGTTTCGATAATGTGACATGGTAAGATGTTATAGTACATTAGTACTGCCTCTAGTAGTACATTTTTTTTGGTCAAACTAGTAGTACATTTAAGAAATATATTACTATACAAATGGAGTGTTTTTATATAATGGGAATTCTCAATCACATATATAAGTACATTTATTAATTTAAAATAACCAGCTCCGACTTACATAATTTACATTATAAATAGAGTATCCTAAAACTATATGTAATACTTCAAGCTATTTAGAGGAGTGGTGGATCACATGCACTCTGAAGAAACTAAAATGGGTTGTTAGTGATGAATTACTATAGTATGTAAATGTTAATAAATCAAAAGAAGACATATTAAAATAAACAGATAATATCTAGTACAATTAACTGAAACATTATGGCACAATTTTAATAGTAAAATTTATCATAATAAATAGGCTAAATTATATATTCCCTCAGTTTCACTTCTATTGTCGTTTTAGATTTTTACATATAGATTAAGATAACATTTAGTTTTATATTTTAAGATAAAAACACAATTACCTATATACCTAACCACTTTTTAACCAATAGAAAATAAAATAACATAAAAGTTAACATGATTATAACATATGAAAGTTATATATTGATAATTGTGATATGTGTTAAACTATATCATAATTAACAATAAATATACTACGATACTAAAACTGATATTTGTTAAAAATTAATTATAAATATTATTCAATAGTAATTTTCCATTTCTAAAATCTTAAACAAAATAGAAATGCAAATAATAATTTGATAGAAATTTTGACATGTTTTGGAAAATCTCATGATAAATATATATACAAAGAAAAAAGTAAAAAAAAAAACTTCTGAAAATTACTTATAAGAAAAATAATTCAAGAATCAAAATTATCAATTAACTAATATATATCAATTATAATATAAATATAATTATATTTCTACATGTTAATATTTTGACATGTTACTATTTTTTCTTGAAAATAGTATATTTTCAAGAAAAATAATTCAAGAATCAATAATATCAGTTAACTAAATGTCAATTATAATATAAACATAATTATATGTTTAAGATTGTGACATATGTGAATCTATCTCATAATTAAAAATATATATACTACGATAATAACAAAAATAAATTTTGTTAAAAATAATTATAATTTTTATCTAATAGTAATTTTCTGTTTTTAACCCCTAAACAAAAGATCATTGTAAAAGATTTTTTATAGTAATTTTCCTTTTAATATTGTGATATGCGTTAAAATATATAATGATCAAATATATATATATATATATAAAGAGATAATATTTTTTTTTTTGAAAAAGTAAATTTAAAATTTATTTATTATTAGAAACTAACTTTAAAAATTACTTAATAGGATTTTTATAATGTTTTTTCAAAAAAAAAAAACTAAACAAAAACAAAATTTGAAAAAAGTTGTAAAATATTTTTAAAAAATGATTTGTAAAATATTATACTGAGGTTCATTCTGATTGTGACATATGAAAGTTATATATTGATAATTGTGATATGTGTTAAACTATATCATAATTAACAATAAATATACTACGATACTAAAACTGATATTTGTTAAAAACTAATTATAAATATTATTTAATAGTAATTTTCCATTTCTAAAATCTTAAACAAAATAAAATTGCAAATAATCATTTGATAGAAATTTTGACATGTTTTAGAAAATCTCATGATTAAAATATATATACAAAGAAAATAGTAAAACAAATTTTTGAAAAATAATTTTTAAAGTTATTAATTTTGAAAAAATAAAAATTCCATTTTAAAATTATTTAATAGGGATTTTTAGAAATTTTCCTTTTTAAAAATTCTAAAGACAAAGATATTTGTAAAATAATTTATTTAATACTAGATTTTATTTTCTAAAATCCTAAGAAAATATAATTTGAAAATATTAGTCGATAGTAATTTTCCTTTCAAAATTTTGTTATGTGATAAAATATCTCATAGTTAATAAAATATATAATAAGATGATAAGAGAAATTTTGTAAACAAAAAGTAATTATTTAGTTGTATTTTTCTTTATTTTTATTTTTAAAAATTTTAAACAAAAAATATTAGTCAAATAATTTATTTATAACCAACTATCCTCCTCTAAATTTCTAATAAATATAACTATCAGAAAAGAAAATATTTAATAGTAATTGTCATTTTCTAACATAAAAAACGTAAGAAATTGTAAAAGAGTGTAAGTAATTTTCCTTTCTTCAAATCCTAATTAAAATGTTTTTGGAATAATTAGTTCTAATAGTTTTATGAATAATCCACTTTCCAATTACAATAGTTGATATTCTTTTTTTTATAAATTATAAACCAAAAGGAGCTATAATTATTCACATATATATACATGTGATTAATTCTCTCATGTTTTGTCACTTCTTATATTTTGGTAGCAAATATAATAAGAGATACAAGAACAATATTAAATAAGTTTTTATGCATATTCATTCACATCTTCGCGTGATCTATTCTTTTTTGGTTTCACATGTAGAGGAAATAACATGTGACCTCCTGATTTTCACATTAACATGATGTTTATTTATTTAAGTATATTATTATCATGTTGTCGTACATTAGTTACTGCCACAATTATATTTAATTGTTTGTACATGTTGTATTTTCTCTATTTTTTATTTTTAAAAATTTTAAACAAAAAATATTAGTCAAATAATTTATTTATAACCAACTATCCTCCTCTAAATTTCTAATAAATATAACTATCAGAAAAGAAAATATTTAATAGTAATTGTCATTTTCTAACATAAAAACGTAAGAAATTGTAAAAGAGTGTAAGTAATTTTCCTTTCTTCAAATCCTAATTAAAATGTTTTTGGAATAATTAATTCTAATATTTTTATGAATAATCCACTTTCCAATTAAAATAGTTGATATTCTTTTTTTATAAATTATAAACCAAAAGGAGCTATAATTATTCACATATATATACATGTGATTAAGTTCTCTCATGTTTTGTCACTTCTTATATTTTGGTAGCAAATATAATAAGAGATACAAGAATAATATTAAATAAGTTTTTCTGCATATTCATTCACATCTTCGCGTGATCTATTTTTTTTTGGTTTCACATGTAGAGGAAATAACATGTGACCTCCTGATTTTCACATTAACATGATGTTTATTTATTTAAGTATATTATTATCATGTTGTCGTACATTGTTACTGCCACAATTATATTTAATTGTTTGTACATGTTGTTTTATGTAAATTTAATGGGTAATATAATTCTTATGTTTATGTGTGTTTGTTCTTATCGGCATATAAAATTGGTTGCGCTATTGTAAATTATGATACTACAGAATTAAAATAAAAGAGAATGACTTTGAAATGGAAGGTTGTAGGTCATGCTACTAAAGAATTGAAATCAAAGAGAATTTTTTTGCAGTGGACAATATTACTGGAGTAGAAATCCTAACTAGAAGTTATATGAAATTAAAAAAACAGATTTTTATTCCTAGAATAAGTTTTATACCAACATATGCAAGATGACCTTTCAAACTGAAATGAAGTTAATTTCTTATATGAGTTGCTATGCAATGACTATCAACAAAAGTTAAAGGTAAACCTTATAAGGTTGATCTATATTTGCCAAATCTATTCTTACAATTATACATTACACTATCAAGAATCACTACAACTCCATAGTTTCAGATTTTTAAAACATAACAACAATAGTAACACTATATATGCTAAAGTAAACATATTTGATGTTTTATTTAGCAGTATATTTGATATTTAGTTGATTATTAATAATACATATTGTTGTTGTCAGGTACTTTTAATATTTTTAATTGTGTTGTTTTTAATTTGCTTTAAACAAGATAAATAATATTGAGAGTTCACATGTCTTTATATTTCAATTAACTACAACAATTATTATTTTAAAAAATAATTAAAAATGTTAATATATTATTTAAAACACCACAACTATTAAAATAGAAATATCAATCAAAATTTATGTTAGAAACAAATTATTATTACTAAAATTAAGACCAATATATACTGAAAAATTCAAGAACTAAGAGCATCTCCAATCCATTAATATTTTAATTTTTATAATGGCATTTGAAGGTGAAATTGCTTCAACCTACGTCTATCTACCTATAATAGAGATTTCTATTTTTTCCTCTATCTATAAAGGAAAACAAATAGCAATCCTCTATTTCTACTCTATATTTAGGATTGCTATTATAGAGGAATATATTGGAGAATATATCATCTCTATTATAGATTTTATTTATTTTAGAGTGAAAATAACAAAATACATTGAAAATGGTCAAATGTAATTTTTTTCCATTTTTATGTATCTATAAAAATATTTCGAAATTAAAGATCAAGTAAAATCCATGCAACGCACGGGCCCATATCTAGTATAGAAATATTTTCAAGTTTATTTTACGTAATAAATATATTTTATTTAAAATAATTTTTTATTGTATATAAAATAATAGTTAATTAGTTATTAAATATTCAAAAGCATGAAATTAATTTATTCTAATAGTTTTTAAACTAACAAAGATACTTATTTACAATTTTTTTTTCAATTTTTTTTCAAACCTCAAAGTCAATCTCAAAATTCAAATTAATATCTTAATGAATATTTTAAAACCAATTAAAATTTTAAATATTTAATGTCATCTTTACTTTTGTCCAACCATAAAATTATCAGAATTCAGAATACTATCAACCGAATTCGAAATGAATTTAAACTAAAATTAGCCTTACACAAAAATTTTAAAAGCTACTTGAATCTGGTATATATTATTAATTCATTTCGACTTGAACATATATATAAAATTCAATGTTCTAAAAGTTGGTCTAGGCAACATCTAGGCGGCAACTCTCCTCTTACCAAAATAATTTTCTAAAATTCAATTTGTACGACTTAAGTCGGGTTAAATCATTTTAAATCTAAAACAGTTATAAACAATTTAATTTAATATAAAATAGTTTATATAAATTTAAAATATAAACTAAAATAGTTTATGGGTGCTAGTCCCTTATAGTTACCGCCTAGCCTAGCGATGTTTGGAACATTTATAAAACTCAAATGGAACGTAACTGAGCCCGAAACTTCAAAAAAAGATACAAGCCAGACCCAAATGAATATCTGAGCGTCTATTGTTGAATTTAAAAACAAATTCTTTTAACCGGTTTGGATTCCGGTTTAAATTCGGGTAGGTCCGGGTTGGATCCGGTTTTTCCCCATCTTCTTTATGCACGTTTCCAATTTTCCGGTGGGAAATCTAGAAATTTGTATCTTGACGAATCGCCATGGCTGCTGCTGCTCACGCCGACGGATTCTCAAACGCTTCCATGGAAAATCTTACTGGCCAAAGGCCGATCTCCACGATAGTCTTCATCGTCGGTACTCTTCTCTTCTCCTCCGTTAATCTTTCCTCTAATTTCTTCTTGTTTGTTATTCTTCGTCTAATGATTTTGTGTATTCGCAGCTATGCAAAAGGAAGCTCAGCCTCTTATCGAAAGGCTTCGACTTGTCAAAGAAGTTAACTCCCCGTGAGTTTCTTTTACCTCTTCAATATTCTCAATTTGAAAAAATGAAAACTTTATTTTGATTTAGGTTTCCAAAAGAGGTGTCTTGGATTCTGTTTAAAGGAATATATAAAGACTTGAATATCAATATAGTGTGCCCAGGAAAAGATTCAGCTCTTGGTATGTATGTTCATATCTAATGGTCATTGTTACTACATTTGAATGTCTGATTCCGAAGCTGTTTTTGTCCTAACTCTTGTTATTTGGGTTGATTTTGTTTAGGGGTTGATAGTGTATGCACGGTTCCTGCATCTCTCGTGACTTACGCATCCATACAAACACTTCAACCAGACCTAATCATTAATGCTGGAACCGCTGGTGGGTTTAAGGTACAGACATTACATACTGTATGCTTTCTCTGCTCAAGTTTGCCTCATGTGTGTTAGAAAGAATAAACATTATCGTTGATGTTTTTTTTTGTTATGGTCTTTTTCCAGGCCAAAGGAGCAAGTATTTGTGATGTTTATATTGTTTCTAGTTCTGCTTTCCATGACAGAAGAATACCTGTTCCTGTGAGTGCTCTTGTGTATAAGTTGCCATGTAAAGCTATTAGGTTTCGCCTTTCCCTGAACAATATCTCTGTTGTTTCTTCAGGTCCTTGATCTATATGGTGTTGGTATGAAGAAAACGTTTCCTACACCCAACCTTATTAAGGAGCTGAACCTAAAGGTGTATACTTCATTTGTTGCTCTGTGTTCACCATTGTGATTCTCTTGCTAGTTTTCGATTAGTTCAGGATCAGTTCTGCCATATGTACAAGTGCCTAGATTTACGCTTTGGTCTTGATGTTCCCAGGTAGGACGATTATCCACTGGTGATTCTATGGATATGTCTCCACATGACAAAGAATCCATCACAGCAAATGATGCTACAGTTAAAGACATGGAGGTACCCTTTCTTCTCCAATCTTTGTGTTTCTTTTTCGTGTCTGATTAATCAGTTGCTACTGCTTATACTTGGTATCTCCACAATATTCAGGGAGCAGCAGTAGCGTATGTGGCTGATATTTTTAAGGTCCCTACGATTTTAATAAAAGGAGTAACTGATATTGTCGATGGAAATAGACCAACCTCAGAGGAGTTTTTGGAGAACTTAGCTGCTGTCACTGCCAAGCTTGATGAGTCAGTTACCAAAGTGATTGACTTCATCAGTGGCAAGTGTCTTTCTGACCTCTGAGGAGGTTCACGTTTTTAATATAGATTCAAGCAAAAGGGAGAGAAGGTATAGACAAGTTATGTGATAGGTTGGAGCAGAATGTTCATTTTTAACTCCATTTTTCCTCATATGATAATGGATCATCTTATATGTAGAAAGTTACTCAACAACACAATAAGATTTGCTTTCATCTTATTTCATTGCATTGTTGATGTTCTTTTTTTATTCATGCTTGAAATTAGTTTCTCTGGGCATTCTTTTGAATTCTAAAATTACACATCCTTGTGTTGGTTGGTTACTAACAAGTATCTTTTAGTTAAGGCCAAAGATTAAGAGAAAATTTTCAAAGAAGTCGAGTTCGTTTTTAGAAAGAGCCAATGCAATAAACATGAAGCTTCTGAATCTCACACCTAATCTTCACCAAATATCCAACTAGACAGAACACACCACACAAGGTGAAGGGTCATAAACTTCAAACTCTGCAGCGTATAAATACGTCTTCACTTTGACCCTTTAGAAAACAGACCCAAGATTCGAGTCTTTTAACAGAAAAGAAGAGATAGAAATGGGAAGCATCGATGCCACAGAGTTGGGTTCAGAGAAGAAACCAAATCCAGGGAAAGCGACAATTCTTGCTATTGGAAAGGCCTTTCCGCAACAGCTAGTAATGCAAGAGTATTTGGTTGATGGCTACTTCAAAACCACCAATTGTGATGACCCTGAACTCAAACAGAAGCTTACTCGTCTCTGTAATGTCTTCACTCTTTAACCTTTTTTTCAAAAAACTTTGTATAAGCTTTCTGAGAACCTGAGGTTTCTTTGAATGTTTTGGATTACTATACAGGCAAGACAACAACGGTGAAGACAAGGTATGTAGTAATGTCAGAGGAGATACTAAGAAAGTATCCAGAACTAGCCATTGAAGGAGGATCCACCGTGAAGCAGCGTCTTGACATATGCAATGACGCTGTAACTGAAATGGCTGTGGAGGCTTCTAGAGCTTGCATCAAGAACTGGGGCCGTTCTATTTCCGACATAACTCACCTTGTCTACGTCTCTTCAAGCGAAGCTCGTCTTCCTGGTGGCGACCTCTACTTAGCCAAAGGGCTTGGTCTCAGCCCCGAGACGCACCGTGTTCAGCTCTACTTCGTGGGATGCTCTGGTGGCGTTGCGGGTCTCCGTGTGGCCAAAGACATAGCCGAGAACAACCCGGGGAGTAGAGTCTTGCTCGCCACGTCTGAGACGACCATCATTGGGTTTAAACCTCCGAGTGCCGATAGACCGTATGATCTTGTTGGTGTAGCTTTGTTTGGTGATGGAGCCGGAGCGATGATCATCGGATCCGAGCCGGATCTGGTTCTTGAAAAGCCTCTCTATGAGCTTCACACTGCAATTCAGAACTTCCTTCCTGGTAAAGCTCTACAAGATACTTTGCATTCCACTGTAAACCTATATAACTTAACACTACTTTTCCATGGTGCAGACACGGAGAAGACGATAGATGGAAAGCTAACGGAACAAGGGATAAACTTCACGCTGTCTAGAGAGCTTCCACAGATAATAGAAGACAACGTGGAGAGTTTCTGCAAGAAGCTAATAGGAAAAGCTGGACTGGCTAATAAAGACTATAACCAGATGTTCTGGGCGGTTCATCCAGGTGGACCGGCGATCTTGAACCGATTGGAAAAGCGGCTTAACCTTTCGCCGGAGAAGCTGAGTCCGAGCAGGAGAGCTCTCATGGACTATGGCAACGCAAGTAGCAACTCGATCGTTTATGTGTTGGAGTATATGTTGGAGGAGAACAGGAAAGCCAGGAACATGAAGGAAGGTGACAACGAGTGGGGTCTGATTCTGGCTTTTGGACCTGGTGTTACGTTTGAAGGCATCGTTGCTCGAAACCTTGATGTCTGAGCAAGAAAACTGAATGAAGACTAATAGGGTTACGGGTTTTACTTACTTGAACCTCAAGAAAACAATCTCCTTTTGCTTTACTGTCATTTCATCAGAGCGAGAGAAAGCAAATAATAATAAGATATGAAAGCTATGCTTAAATCTCTCATAGTCTAAAAATATTTCACAAAAGCAAAGCAACGTAAAATGTGGAAATTTGAAAAACAAAGAAAAAAATCGTTTAATCAGTCAGGCATTATTAGCTCATGTCTTTCTTTCTTACGTGACCTTGACCAAGATGATCAAACTTTTCTAACAAGTCCAGGAGTTGGATCTTCTCATAACGGGTTTCATTTGTTTATCTTCCTCGAGAGCAACCATACCGACATGTGATGGATCTTCAAGCATCATCTTGGCTACTAAGTATCCAGCGATTGACCAGGTCTGACATTTACGTGCTTGTTTCCCCACGTATCTCCCTACCGTTCCGTCATAGTATTCAGGCCAGTTGTCTTTATGTAGCCTAGCTTCCGCTACTTCAATTGCTCTTCTTGCTATCTGAGGTCGACCCGTTTTGATACAAGCAGCCGTCAGTAGCCATAGCAGCACTGTAACAGTACATCAATAAAGATCAGTTTCAGCTTTTGTAATCAGAAGCAATGTAAAGGAGAGTTTGTAAAATTTTACCTGGCCAAGACCCTCCATTGTGGTAGCTCCATCGAGTGTTTTTGGGATCACAGCCAGTTACTATCTTCCACTCATGGCTTTCTATTGCAGGGTAGCAAACTTTCAGTGGCATTTCTCCTACCAGCTCTTCCCAGCGAGCTTCTATGAGATCCATAATTGCAGTTGACTGTTCAGGAGTAGCCAAGGAAGACAATATGGCTATACAATTGCCAAGAGCAAACCAACGGAAATCCATTCTTGCAGGGCTAACATTGCCGATGAAGAACCCTCCATTAGGCGGCATGAAGTCGAAGACCCATTCTGGAAGTGAGTCAGGGATTACGTTGAACTTGTTGACAGCAGTGTGAGAGTATTCCTCTGTCTTGTATCGGTATATGTCATTAAGCTGCTTCAAGTCTAGCCAAAAGTAGCTCCTCATGTGGTAGCTCAGTGCATGAAGTCGCTTCACTATCTGTTCCACCATTTCTTTACCTTCTCCCTCAGGTTTGAGCAGGAGCAAGGCACACCTCAAGGACATGAAGAAAAGAGCTTGAATCTCTATGGGGTAACCATAAACTCCCTAAACACAAAGAAAACAGATAGCTCAACACAGTCTTATTTCTGAAAAGAAACACTAAAAACTAACTAGTAAAGACTTTTCTCACCATCCTGCGATCAATCATACAGCAACCATCAGCGCATAAGAGAGTGGGAAAGGTATCAAACCCCTCAGACAAACACAAGCTTAATATCAACCGTATACCCTTCTGGCAATCAGGCATGTCAGCAAGAGAAGAGTCTCCAGTAGACTTGGTGTATGCTCTGAGCAGAATAATCCACCAGAAACCAGAATCAACGGGCGCCACTCTTCCAATCGCACTCTCACCAAAATCAGCTATCAACGTCTCATGGTTTCTAACAGGGTCATGAAAAACCTTGAAGCTAGCAGGCATAACTCCTTCACCAAGCTGGAACCTATCAATCTTTTTCTCCCATGACTGTAAACGAAGAGTCTTCAAAAGGAAGTTTCTCACTATCTCCGTCTCTCCATTCATCAAGAACGCTAAAGCACTTGGCACAAAGTCTCTCACAAACACCTAATACAACAGCGTTTTTAGTAAGAAACTTTTGAGAGAAAGTATTAAAAGATTCTTTACCTGATCGTAGTTGAGTTTCTCCTCAGAGTTATCAACAGCAGCGATAGTTCCAACAGGTTGTCCACGGAAGTAAACCATAGACCGTCTCAAAGCATCCCAAGCCTCTCCCACCATGGGATGAGACTCAAATCCATGCACAGACCGAGGAGTATTGAATCCAATGCTAGGTGAAGCCACACAATCATGGAGAAGACGAGGAGCATTCTCCGCGTTTCTAAGCTGTGGTGAGGTGGAGAGCTCAGTGAGAGACCTTTCGTCAAGAGATAGCAGTCTATCGATGTTCAACGGCCTTGGCTTCTCTAGCAACTTGGAGAAATCAATGTCATCAATATCCTCATCTGTGTCAGTTTTCTTGGTAACGCCGTTGAGATTAAAAGTCGACATTGATCAAAGATTTTGATTAAAAAAAAAACTAAAACCAACGGTCCAATTCAGTGATCATTCATTCCCTGCATTATCAATAAACCGAATCAGATCCATTTGATTTGTTAAAACACAACGCATGATCAAACGTAATCAATGAAGCCGTTCTGTGGAAGCTGTTATCAATCAAAACGCAGAGTTCAGAGAAACTTCACGAACGATAGCAACGTTCAACAGAATTTGAAATAGATATAACAATCTAGAGAGGATTTCGACTCGATTATAACGACAACACGTCACAGAACAGATCGAAAACGAAACTAATCATCAAGTAAACGATTCTTTGCGGAGATTCGGAAAAAACAACAACCTCATCAATCGTAAATGTTGATCGTAACCATACATAGAGAGATCACGAACCTTATAGTAAAGAAGACGACGAAACGAAAGAGCTTCGTTCACTGCTCTGCGCCTCTCTGATCACGAAACAGAAGAGAGAAGCGAGAGTATATATATATGAGTGAGTGGAACAAGTAATTAAAACGGAGAAAGGGTAGACGTATCAGCTATCCAGCGAAGGAGAGTTTGGGTCCACGTGGACGGCCAAGATGTGATTGTAGCTATCGGGAAGGTTAAAAAGTTGAGCCTTTTATCAAGCCATGCATATCAAATGAGGTTGTTGCTTTTTTTTTCAATTTCCCCGGTATTATCTTAGATTTTTTTTTAGATATGAAAACAAAATATTCTATATGAGATTTTTTTTACAGCTCTATTTAGACACTTATAATTTTCTTTATCGAAATTGATTGTGAAAAGGAAATAAAATTTACTTATTCGATCAAATCACTATAAGAAAAAAATCGGTTGATATATTGAATTTTAGTAGTCTGACTCTGATGAGTATCTTGCAGTTTTGCAGTGGATCAATCAGATGTTTGTTTTGTCCACGTGTACGGTGGCAGCGGATCTCGTGCCATGCACAGGCTAACTATTTGTTGGTTTCAAAAATCTTTTACTTTTAACTTAATTAAATTTTCATTTGAATCATGCAGTATATATATAACTACAACCATTCTTGTTGGTAATGAAACAAAAGAAATGTCTAATAGTTAGTCTCCAACGTGGTGCAATAAAAAAAAAGTTAGTTTCCAACGTTGGAGAATGAGCAGATTAGTCTCTTTTGCCAATGCTTGATTTGATTCCTCATTTTTTTCTGGACTTTTGGTGGAATAATATTTATTATGTTGTCTGAGAAAGTTTGTCTGTAAAGCCCAGTGAACAGAAGCCCAAATCAACACAAACAAGAGTGTTTCTTCTTTGTTAATCTCTAGGGGGTGGGCATACGGGTATCCGTTCAGATTTGGATCGGCTATTTCAGATTTTCGAGTATTTTGGTATGGAGATGTAAAATCCATTCAGTTATTTCTATACTTTGGATCGGGTTTGGGTATTTTTAGTACGGGTTCGGTTATTTCGGATCGGATTCGGATATTTAGATTTTGAAAAAAAAAGATTAAATTTTTCATTACTCAATTTTTTTTTATATTTGAAAATATAATTTTCACTTAACTAATTTTTTATTTTAATAGATTGAATGATTAATAGATTTGGACATAATATTTTGAAACATTAAAATCATTAATTTGGTTATTGTTTTTAAATTGTGGATGTAACTTTTTCTTAATTCTTGAAATAAAAAGTTCAACATGCATTTTAAGTGAGTAGCAAATCATTTTTCTCGTAATAGATGTATATCATATGAACTTAAAGTATGTGTAGTAGTAATATAAATATTTTATATGAAATGAGAGATGTAAATTACAAATATAAGGTTAATAATACATATGTTTGGAATATCCCTTCGGGTTCAGAAATCTAATTTCTTCTAATTTAATATCCGTTCGGATATTTTTCTATTTCGGTTCGGGTTTTCGGATCGGGTTCCTTGGATATCGAGTAAATTGCCTACCTTATTAACCTCTGTGCGGCTGTGCTTTTGAAACTCCATCTTCTGCCTTAAGGCCTCTCCAACCCATGATACTATTTTAGTGTCAAAGTTACACTATTATAGTGTAGTTTTAGCAATAAAATATTTTGGTTCTCCAACCACAACACAAAATATTACACTAAAAAGTATATTCTTTGTTATTATATTATTAAAAAAGATTCTCTTATTTTTAATAGTTTAGTTAAATATTTATTATTTATAACTAAAAATATTAACTAATATTAAAATTGTAATTAAATATAATCTTTCTAATACACCTTTTTAAAAAATATTTTTAATTAAAATTAAAATATGTTGTATGAAAATAAATTATATTAAAATATTATTATTAACACAAACTTGTACAATAAACTATTAAAAACACATAACAAAAGCTAAATTAAATTATACTAAATTTAAGAATTAGAATATTCAGACCACAAATGCTCAATCAATTCATTTTGAAGTTCGAAATGAGCTTCTCGATCTTTGATTTGCTTATGACAAGCTAAAAATTCTTGAAATTGAGCATCATCAGCACCTGTCATCTCAACTTCTGTATTCAGAACTTCAATATATTCTTCAGTTGTTGCATTTGTATCACATTCATCTTCTATAATCATATTATGCATTATGATACAAAGAAATACGAAGAAACAAAGAACGACTCATCTGAAATCTTCGCCGAAACATCGTCTCTGGAAACAAAGGATTCTCAGCAAAATAACCGTTAAAGAGATTACGTGAAGCATTCTTCTGATCATGGTTGATAACTATATGCCCATGAATAGATCCTCCATGTGATCCCTCGTTAAAAAGATTTTGAATGATTAGAAAATTATTATTTGCAAAAATTTGACAAATTATTTGCTTTTCAAGATCTTCATAATAATCATTTCCTGAAGAAGAAATATGAGATGAACTACCAAAATTAAAATTCAAGTTTTAGTAAAAGAAATTTTAGATGATGGTCTTCTTCTTAAAACATAATAGACAATTTATAGGCACTTGGGTCTTAGCTCCATAGCAACACTATTAAAAAGACAAATCAATCTAAGCCATTTGTTTTTTTTTTTTTTGCCAAGATCTAGCCATTGCATTCACTTGTCATTTCATATTTTATCCCCATGACTACATCAATAAGAAAAAAAAATCAATATAAACCTTTGATATTTTTGAGAAAGATCTAACCATTACATTCATTTGTCGTTTCAGCTCATAAATCCATGTCCACATTAAAACAAAAAGAAAAATCAATCTAAGCCAATAATGTTTTTTTTTCAGTGACTTAGTCATTTCATTAAGTAGTGTCATTTCATCTTTTATCATCTTGACTACATTAATATTAAAAAAATAATTCTATATAACACATTCATATTTTTGACAAAGATAAAACTATTGCATTCACTTGTCATTTCATCTTTTATCTCCAGGTCCACATTAACACAAAATGACAAATCAATCTAATCCAATGATTTTTTTTTTTTGCAAAGATTTAGTTATTGGATTCACTAATCATTTCATCTTTATCATCATGAATATATTAATACAAAAATAATTCAATATAAACGATTGATGTTTTGATAAAGATCTAACCATTGTTTTCACTTGTCATTTTTTCTCTTATTTCCATAACTAAAAGATAAATAGATTTAAGCATTGTTTTTTTGCCAAGAACTAGCAATTACATTCACTAGTCATTTTATCTTTTATTTCCATAATTACATTAATTCCATAAAAAAATCAGTCAAACAATTGACATATATTTGTCAAAGATATCTTTTGCATTCACTAGTCATTTTATCTTTTATGCTCATGACTATATTAATACAAAAAAAATAATTCCTTATAAGCTATTGATGTTTTTGATAAAGATCTAACCATTGCATTCACCTATCATTTCTTCTCTTATTTCCATAACTAAAAGACAAATAGATTTAAGCTTTGTTTTTTCCCAAAAAACTAGTAATTGCATTCACTAGTCATTTTATCTTTTATTCCCATGGCTACATTAATTCTAAAAAAAAACAGTCAAGCAGTTGTCATGTATTTATCAAAGATACATTTTGCATTCACTAGTCATTTCATATTTTATCCTCATGAATATATTAATACAAAAATAATTCAATATAAGCCATTGATATTTTTGATAAAGATCTAACCATTACATTCACTTGTCATTTCATCTCTTATTTTCGTAACTAAAAAAGACAAATAGATTTAAGCCTTTGTTTTTTTCCAAGAACTAGCAATTGCATTCACTAGTCATTTTATTTATTATTCTCATGACTACATTAATTCTAAAAAAAATCAGCCAAGCAATTTTTATGTATTTGTCGAAGATGCCTTTTGCATTCACTAGTCATTTCATCTTTTATCCTCATGACTATATTTCTACAAAAAAAAAAAAAAAAATCAATATAAGCCATTGATAAAGATCTAACCATTGCATTCATTTGTCATTTCATCTCTTATCTTCATAATTACATTTATATAAAAAGACAAACCAATTTAAGTTATTGATTTTTTTGCCAAAATCTAGCAATTGCATTCAGTAGTCATTTCATCTCATATCTCCATGTCAACATTATTACAAAAAAAGACAAATCAATCTAAACCATTGATTTTTTATTTACTTTTCTATATAAATGGATAATAATATTGAATGATCAAACACATTTAACTCATTTTCTTACAACTAATATTTCTTCTAAAATGACTTAAACTCGATCTTTGTCATATTCCATTGAAAAAGATGTGCACTTATGTCATGTATATCTTGATGTTTCTCAAAATCCATTCATAGGAATAAATCAATCAAGAGATCAGTTTTGGACAAGAGTTGAAAATGAATATGAGAAGTCGAAAATTTCCAATCATCAATCAAGACCAAGAAGATCTTACAAACTCGAATGACAACAATTTTATCTGCGATCTCCAAGCTAAGGGGATGTGTTAATCAAATTGAAAATAAGAATCCAAGTGATGCTTCAGAACAAGACATTGTAAGTATATACACTAACTTTTGATATTT